CAGCCATTGCAACCCCCCACCACCACCACTTATTAGCAATGATATTTACTCCACCTGTCCCATAGAAAAGTCCAGTTTTATGAAGGTAAACTTTTTTGGTCAAGATACTGGACTCTTTTTATGTTACCGATGGAGTATTTGTTATTGTCTATGTTCCTTGCTTGATGGTTTTTGTAGACACATCTCTTGTATTAGACTTATGATCTGAAACTCTGACTCTTGACACGTATTCTCTATGTATACTCTCTCATAATAAAATCACTTTTCATTCCCACAACCTCTATACATCTCATCAAGTTATGTTTTGTAATACAGCGGATGTGTTCCACCCGAGTATATAAAAGGAGGCATATACTCCAGAAAATATGACGTTTATAGCTTTGGAGTTCTGCTACTGCAAATCATAAGTGGCAAGAAGAATGACTGTACACATGGAACAGATAAGGATCAAACACTTCTAGAATATGTAAGTGATCAATAATAAGCCTAATCCAAAATCTAAATATGCAATATTAACAATTAATCAAAAATATTTCAGGCGTATGAGATGTGGAAGACTGACAGGAGCGAGGAGTTCACGGATCCGTCATTGGACGATGCTATGTCGCCGTGCAAGATGAAGAGATGCCTGCAAGTGGCTCTGCTATGCGTTCAGGAGAGATGGGAAGACAGGCTGTCTATGTTGGAGGTTTACTCGATGCTCAGTAATGATTCTCTAACCCTACCTGCTCCGAAAATGCCTGCATTTGCAAGACAAGCAGGACACGACGAAGGTGCTTATGGTGACTTCAGCCCTTGTGGGGAAGAGGACTGTTCCGTGACGTTTGCAACCACTTCTACCTCCGAGCTCATCCCGCGTTGATGTTATGGAGCTTTAAACATCCAAATAATCTTTGGAAATGTCAATTATGAATCTATAGAAGAACTAACGCTGTGTTTGAATAGGAGGGGCAAAATATAGTGAAGGGAAGAGAAAATTCTGTGGAGGTGGGGAAGGGAGGAGTGGGATCTTGTTTGGATTCAAACATTTTGCAGGAGGAGAAGTTCGCACATGAACTGTGCTTCGTCACCATCGCTGCCACATCCGTTCTCACTAATTTCTCCACCTACGCCTCCATTGACACCACCTGCACCAGGGAAGGGAAGAGAGAGTATTGCCGGCGTCTTCCCTCTGAAATGACTCTACATGGGAGGGACCAATTTGGAGGAAAGGGAAAGACTCTATCTTCCTTTCTCGTTTAATTTCCCTCCCCACCCTTTTTCTCCTAAAACAAACGGTTGATACGCAAGCTCCCTCATAGGCAGCTTTTGGGGGTTCAATTTTCATCCAAAACTAAAATAAAATGAAAGATAAGTTAGTGTTGTTAAAATGAATGATAAGTTAATACAAAAATTATCAAAAAAATCGAAGATACCCTGAAATATATTAAAAATAATGTGGATATGAAAGTTATTATCAAAAAATTAAGGTTATCTCGAAATAATTTTCAGGTTCAAGTTAGTTGTTCAATCTTAGCACAAAAAATGTATAAACCATGTACGTTGTTTTTATTTCGATTATAAAAATTTATAAGCATTAGAAAAAGTTGTAACAACACTAACTCAATTAAGCAATAACAATATGTAGGGCGGGGTTCAATTTTTACCAAAATCAAAAATCGAACAGAAGAGTAGATATTGGTTTGGTTCGATTTTATGTAAAAAAAAGTATTCCCTCCGTCCCAATTGATATTGTCTGTTTCGCTTTACGATGTTTGACTAAAATTATTTCTAAATCGTTTTATATGAAAAAATGGTAAATAATTAAAAAATAAAAGGTAGATATTAAAATACTACATCAAAAGATCTACAAAACTAGTGATGACATGACTAATTTATTTTATCAAATAATTACCGAAAAAGAGAAAGAAAATGAATAAAACTTGATCATGTGAATAGTAAATAGACAATTTAACTTGGGACGAAGGGAGTATGTGTCTAATGTCCAACAAACATCTAGAAGATTCTAAATACGTTCAAAACTATTGTATGTAAATACTCCGGTATCAGTTAGGAAGTATTTGAGTATTTGATATAGTAATTTCATTTCTATTATAACATCAAAATTTTCATGTATATATAAAAATTATTCGTATCATTTTAAATGTTAATATAATTCCATATTAAGATTAGTTATTTGTGTTTAATTATACTCTTAAGTTTTTTTAAAGTTTATAATATACTCTCTCTGATCCTAAAAACAAATCCAATTTTGACTTTTTTGGTCAAACAATGACATACTTTGACTACAAATTGTAAAAAAGTATACTTAATTATATATAAATGTAATATAATTGGGTTCATCTTAAGATATAGTTTTGACAATTAAATTTTTATATCATTTATTTATTTATATTATATTTAATTTATGGTAAAAGAATGTCACTGTTTGACTAAAAAAGTCAAAACATGAAAGGTTTTTAGGACTATGGGAGTAGTTTAAAATGTTTAATGCCTAAGGCAAAATAACTTTTATTAACTAATGAGTTATTCACATTTATGTTTCTATGATTTTTTTCACAAATCATATATACTCATAAAACGAAATACATAATAAAGTTCACTTTATTGAGTTCAGTTTGATTTTACAAAATGAAATCAAAACAGAAACCAAACAATAACGATTTGGTTCAGTATATTTTGCATTCGGTTTGAACTCTTTCGAAATGGTTTTTTTCTGGCTTGTTTTGGTCGATTTTGATTAGATTGGCGGCTTTCCATTTTTCGGACCCAGCACTATCACTCACTCTCCCCTTCCCTTCATTCCCCTCAATCGAAACATAACTTAAACGATCTCAAATAATTGAAACAATTAAAAATCAAATTCATATATACTCCTCCGTCCTAATTTGAGTTGTCCAACTTTTATCACGTTATTGACTCATTTTTGCTACCCATTTAAAAAACATAATATGATCTTGTCACATTAACCCAAAAATGACATTTATCAGAGATAATTATGCACATACAATAATTAGTGTGCGTAAGAAACCATTTTTTATACTGTAAAACAATGGTTTAGGGTCTTTGTGTTCTTTCGTCCATTTTTTACCATGGGAAGGAAGACAAATTGAATTTGACAATGGGTGCAGCAATACAAAGAATTTTCTCAGCAATACAAAGAATTTTCTCAGCAATTTTCTCCTTCATCCGATTTTTCTCTCTGACTTCGTGGCAGCTGCATCGCCCAAGTTAGTGCAAATGTCAAGTCTATTTTATTAGACTTTTATTTTAACTAGCTACCCATTCATTCATACCTATATATATGTATGTACCAATCATCTGTTTTATCAGAGTTGACACCCTGAGGTAAAGTCCAAGAAACATGTAAAATGTACTGTGTTTTTTTATACCTGAGAGAAAACCAACCACTGCCTGCCTTCTTGTATCCACCCATCCATGTCTTCCGAGCTCATCTTCTTCCTCGCCATCTCCCTCCTTTGTCCTACTTTCAGCAGCTGCACTTCAACATCAAAAGCCACTTGGGTCCAATCTGGTTTCTGGTATGCCGGCAGTGAGTTCCCCGTGCCAGATATCGATTCATCTCTCTACACGCACCTCGTCTTTGCCTTTGCCCACATCAATTCCTCCACTTACGAGCTCTACATATCCCACTCCGATCAGCCCTACATCTCAACGTTCACAGAAATCGTCAGACGCAAGAACCCATCCGTCAAAACTGTACTGTCGATATGGGCAGGGGAAGAGGAGGCAACACACTTCTTCTCAATGGCAAATCAGTCTGCTCACAGGAAACCATTCATCAAGAGTTCCATACAGACCGCCAGGGAATACGGATTTCATGGCCTGGATCTCTATGGTGTCCTTCCTAACAACAGGCAGTCAGATATAGGAGCTTTCATGGACGAGTGGCGGGCATCTGTGAACTCCGACACACGGGCCCCACGACTGATCTTGACAATGGGAGCATACTACTCCCCAACGCTGGACTCCATGACCTACCCTGTTGATTCAATTGTCAAAAACTTTGATTGGATTCATCTCAGGTCATATGACTACTATCTGCCTACGAGAGATAACTTCACTGGACCACATTCTGCTTTGTATGATCCCCTCAGGAAGTTAAACACCGATTATGGCATAAAGGAATGGTTCAGAAAAGGGTGTCCTCCAGACAAATTGACCATTGGTCTACCGTTCCATGGCTACGCTTGGACACTTGTGAACCCGCGGGACAACACTGTGGGATCACCTGCAAAAGGTTTGGCCATAACGCAAGATGGGTCGATGAGCTATAGGTACATAAAGATGTATATGGGTGGCTACAATGTCGCACCAGTGTACAACTCCACTTACGCTGCGAACTACTTCACCGTGGAATCATTTTGGATTGGTTATGATGATGTAGAGGCTATCAAGACTAAGGTTTCCTATGCAAAGGAAAAAGGACTCCGTGGTTACACTATATTTCAAGTTCCTAGTGATGATGCCGATTGGTTGCTCTCTAGAGCAGGTTAGCCATTTACAAAATAAAAACAGTAGTCCAGAGAAAGCACTTGACTAACTTATATGGTATATGCACTGCAGAAAGATATGTAGGAGTGGGTAAATAAGTAGCTTCCCAAGGAGCTGTGTAGAACTATAACATCCTAGCGTAGGTTAGGAGTACAGAGGTACACGAATTCTAGTAGGTATTTGAGTCAACCTTAAAGTCAGAGTCCACTTTTAATCAAATCTACACATCAATACTGCCAAAAAAGAGTGTCTATACGAGGTCCTAAGAAGCTAGAAAACATGACGCAAATTTCCAAACTTACTACTAATCATTTACGATATCTACAAGTACTGAACTATGAATCAGGATAGTGTACATAGTTAATCCAGAGAATACAAAGCTTATACTCTATAATAATTACACAAATGCACCAACTCTACCTTCAACAAGTGGTGCCGAGACTCAAAATCTTGAAAATAATGCAAGAGGTCCTGAAGAAAAAAAGACATGAAAATACAATATCATATAAGAAATTGTGTATATACAAAATTCATATATGTTTTTCATCTAAGCTCAAACAACATTCCTTCTTCGTCACAAAGAAAGACTCAAATGTCTTCTCATTGCTAACCTTAAAGAACAAGGCCAACAACTCCACTACAACATACCAAGCTAAAAGATGCTTCAAGATTGTCATTAAAAACTACCAATCAGATTATTAGGAAACTTAAGGCTCAATAAAGTCTCACAGCGAACTAAGTTCATCTAAAAAAACCAACATGTGTTATTGAGGTGAACTCAGTTGGTTGTGAGATTGTATTGAGCCTTAGGTATCCTAATAATCCGTTAGGTGTTTTGTTTTTGCAATCTTGAAGCATCTTTTAGCTTGTGATGTTGCAGTGGACTCGTTGGCCTTCTTCTATGAGGTTGGCGATGAGAAGACATTTGAGTCTTTCTTTTTGAAGAGGAGACGTTCTTTGAGCTAGATGACAAACATGTATGAATTTTTTATATGCATGATATTGTATTGTCATGTACTTTTTTTCCACGTGACCTTTTGCATTGTTTTTAAGATTTTGAGTTCTACAACCACTCCTGAAGCACTTGTTGAAGTAAAAGTTGATGCATTTGTGCAATTATTATAAGCTTCGTGTTCTCTAGATTAACAATATACTCTCTCCGTCCCAATTTAAATCGTCTGTTGTTGTTTACAAGATTTGACTGAAGTTGTTTTCAATTCAATTATTTGAAAATTAGTATGGAATTAAAAATGAAATTTATACATTTAAAAACTACATCAAAAGTTCTACAAAACAACAAGTGACTAGAGTATATTATTTTCTCAAATGGGTAACAAAAATGGGTAAAGAATGTGATTGAAGTTTGACCTTGTGAATAGTAAACATGCAACTTCAATTGGGACGGAGGAAGTACAATATTCTGATTCATAGTTGAGTACTTGTAGATATCATAAATGACTACTAGGAAGTTCAAAAATTACAATGTGAACTACAATGGGTGGCTACAATGCCACACCAGTGTACAACTTCACTTACGCTTTGAACTACTTC